CATTCTAGCAGAGTAGGATTATTTCAATGGCCACATGGAAAAGCTAACAAAAATATGATCTTATATATAACCCCTTAGCTTATGTTGAATGTAAACCTTCATGTCCTTTTTATGACTCAAGCAACTAAAACTATCATCAGCATTTTTTAATTGATTTATTGTAATTATTTGAATAAAACATATTGCTTCTCTTTACAAGCAGAAACATTATCCTGCTTCAGTCAAAATCTATGTAAAAGCATATCTTGTGCATTAAAGACAGACAGCACCCCCTTGTGGCTGGACCCAAAACTCAACAAACAAAAACAACTAAAATAAAATTTCCCTTTTTCTTTCATAGTGAGGTGAATGATGGGAGCTGCTAAGAGTTCAACAGAGGAATACCAATGGTGGATGGGATTAGATCTGAATGAAAGCTATACTTTTGATTATAACGAAGATGGAGGGGATGTTTGTGACCTAAACACAAAGTTTGAATCTGTGTTCTTACCAACTCTGTACTCGCTGGCATTTTTGATTGGTATTTTGGGGAATGGATTGCTGTTGGGAGTCCTGTTTCAGAGCAGGAAGAGTTGGAGTGTGACAGACACCTTCATCCTTCACCTGGCTGTGTCAGATATCCTGCTATTGATCACGCTACCCCTCTGGGCTGCACAGGCTGCTAGTAGCTCGGGGTGGCAATTTGGTTCTAACCTTTGCAAGACTACTGGAACTGTTTTTACGGTGAGGATTTTACCTTTTGATATGCATGCTCAAATTATATATTCTTTATATATAAAAAAGATACTCAATATCCTTTTTTTTAACTTTCAGATAAACTTCTACTCTGGGATTTTTCTCCTGGCCTGTATCAGCATAGATCGCTATTTATCCATTGTCCACGCTACCCAGATGTACAACCGCAGGAAGTCCTGGGTGGTTCATATGAGCTGTTTATTGGTGTGGGTCTTCTCTTTGCTCCTCTCCATCCCTGACTGGCTGTTTTTAGAGGTTGTGTCAGACGACAGACGGAACATAGAACAGTGTACTCGTAATTATTCCAAATTTACCAGCATCCCCGAAGAAATACAGACCCAAAGAATGGGAGCACGATGGCTATACCATGCTGTGGGCTTTTTGCTTCCTTCAGTTGTCCTGATTTTCTGCTACTCCTGCATCTTGCTCCAACTGCAATGTGGCTCCCAGAGCCTCCAAAAGCAAAGAGCTTTCAAAGTCATAATAGCAGTGGTGGGAGTTTTTTTTCTCTGCTGGACACCATATAATATTGTACTTTTGGCAGACACAATTCAAAACAACTCAACAGCCAACTTAACTTGCAGCTCAATGGCGTCCATGGGAGAAGCTCTGACTGTAACAGCTTCTTTGGGGTACCTTCACTGCAGCCTCAATCCTATTCTGTACGCCTTTGTAGGTGTGAAGTTCCGCCGTCAGCTGGTTATCATCCTGAAGTCTATGGGCTGCAAACTGAAGACCCGTATAAAATCAGAATCGTTCACCAGGAAAAGCTCCATTTGGTCTGACTCTAGAGAAACCTCAAATTCCATAGCAATCTGAATGTATAAAATAAAACCAGCTAAAAAGACAAGTGACATAAATTAACCAGAAGGCTATAGCGTCCGTCATCAACTGCAAAGCAACAAGATACAGTTTTCTCATAACCAGGCAGCTGTGTAGGATAAGAAAACTTGGAATTTATTTTGACATGTGAAAGAAAAAAATGGTGCATTTGTATATATTTTAAACTGCAAAACATTTAAATATAAACAGGCTATTTTTTTTTCTTAAAATAAGTGCATTTTGTCTTGAATTGAGGAAGTAAGTGAGACACTCTGCCAATGGAACAAGTTGATTTAGATTTAAAATAAGAAAAAACAATTGCATTCTGTTATTTCAAGTCCATATTATCTAATTATTTTATTCTAAGGGTAAAAATACTCATTCCATTGGCAGAGCATATTATTTATCTGCTCAAATTAAGGGTGAATACACTTATTTTAAGAATTTCTGACTAATTTTAAGATCATTTTTGCAGTGTATAATAAGGTTTTGTATATACTGTATATATATGTATATATATTTTTTCATTTTGCAACATTTAATTACATTATCTTCATGTTAACTGTTAAAGGAGCAATAAGTTCAGGTATTGACAGTATATTTAACCAAAACTATTCTCATTTGTCACTCAGAATTGAAGTAAAATTTGCTATAAAAAATCTGTCTTTTCTATCAACAATATCTTGGTCAACTTTTTCTTCTTTTAGAGCTGTAGGTATGTTTGGCAGTGTACAGCTTGTGTCTAGTTCCTGCATTTATGTTAGAATTCCCAGGCTTACCGAAACAGAGTGCAGAATTAAGTATTTTAGAGTGGCAGCCCACAGACATAGCCAGTGAAAGAAGAGTAACAGTAACAGTCTTAACAGTACCTAAAAACCCTTGGCATCCTACAGAAGTATTTGCACAAAAATGTACTGTGGCTAAATCATCTTCATCGTCATCTTAAATTTAGCTGTTCTACAGTACATCATTGTCTCTCTTATAGCTGTGATTCTAATTACTTATTGCTTCTTTAAAGAACTGAATAAAATATTTTTTTTATCCTTGAGTGTGTTTTTTTGTAATGAAGATGACCATATATAACCAAATAAACCAAGATAATTCTACTAAAATGAAAAAAAAAAACTTTTTCTAAGGTGTCCCGTCTAAGAGCCAGGAAAATAAAACATTACTTACACCACACTACACTACCTGGTTAATATGACAGAAACAACTATGTTTGTCAGTTAGTAGTTATCTGGAAGTTATAAAACAACAAGTCAGGCCACATGCAGGATGATAAAAAAGTGAAATTTCTAATACTTATGTGGGAGTGGCGGAGGTGGAGGGGTTACCCTTGTAACCCATGTATAGAGGCATTTGTCCTTGACCTGGTCTTCAGGTTTCACTCCCTTCCTGTTACCTTTGCTGCATTTCCATCCACATCCCATTTTCTGCCTGCCTACTTTGAAAGAAATTTCAAAAGGCCACTACAGCATATAATTATTTAAACCTGTTAAACTATAGAGGAAAAAAATTGCTACACGGTCTCATCCACTGTGCCTGCCTCTGCTTCCTCTCTGTATGAATATTGGATGACATAGCAAGACTGGTTAATGTAGTTTTGGCACAGGTACAATTTTATTGAACACTTTAAATAATTTCATTAAGTTTATCTTTAGTTTAACATGTAATTAGAGTGCAATTATTCACTTTCTGTCTTGCTGATATTGATATTCCACTTCCCTGAGGGCTGGATCAAAGCGTGACCAAATACTCAAATTATTTTATTATTTTACGTAGCAACTCAAAGGAACTTTTAGGAACGCCAAAAGAGACTTGTCTTGCTTAAGTATCAATGATTAAGGTCAGTAGACATACCAAGAGAAGGTAGACAATAAAGGCATTTAAAACCTGTGAGACATAGTACTAATTCAGGATTCCCAATTAGTCATCTCTTACAACCTTTTAATCACCCCTGATACAGTTACTGAGGGAAAAGAACAGACCAGACATGATGCCACTGGGAAAAATAACAGCTATGGTTTGTTATTTCAATTCAACTCCCCCATTTCCAGCTCCATTTATAGAAGTATAGTAGTACAGTAGCAAAGTGAGTCCAGTTACAAAACCAACTAACCAAACCCTACCATTGAGGAGGAGAGAATCACTGAGTTATGGGAGCCTTAGTCTGGTATTTTATGTTTAAAATCCTTCTGAAATGTCTTTAATTTGATGTTTCATCAATTTTAAGAGAAAAGAAATAAATTCAGCTCATTCGGAGCAAATTTATACCCTTATTTTCCACAAGGGTACACATGAGCATTTGACTTTCATATAAATGTAGAGTTAGCATCATTAGCAGTTTGCTATGGTTTGTTTAGCATTGCTCTCCAGTTTCTTACAGGATGAGTAAAAAGTGAGTGGCTATGACAGATTTATGTAGAGCTGTCATTATTACTCACCTCATCCAGGAAGCACCTGCCTTTACTGCACTGCACCTGAACAGACTTTGCTGAGTCTTCCAAAGGAAGAGCACAATTATCAGAGATGCTGTAATATCATGCAGTAGAAATACACCAAAACCAGAGAATTTATTCTAGAATTATTTCACTGTTGTTGCAAATCTCATTTTGCATCAGACCATACCAGTGCATCTGTTCCATGCTGCAGTGACTCTAGGTCGGCGTCATTAAAACAGCAACAACTACACAGGGAGAGGTTGGCATGGTGAAGGTAACTGTCTTACAGGTTGCAAGAAAACAGTTTATAGTACATAAAAATTCAAAGGGGCCCAAGGATATATATCATCACATACTCTATATACCCATTGTTGAAAGCTTAAAAACAACTCAAATCCTACTTAGACCAATCTGGACATGAAAGCTTCTAATGTGATTGATATTTGCAGATCTCTTTTAGTAAGATGTGGTAATGCGTATAAAGTAATGAATGTGGATGGTGAATCTCTATTATCTCTAATGCTTTATGACATTCATTATGTGAAACTGCTAGGACAACCAACACAATGTATACATTAAAAGAAAATGAAACTATTATTTTCATGGCTGGGTAAAAGAGAACAATAGCGCTGGGCTTTTTGTGGTTTATTGGGAAACCTATGTTTCATCATTTACGTCAAGCACTGTCCCAACTCTCCATTAAAATGAACTAAAAATCAAACGCTAAAATCATGTAAATCCATGTTGGTCAATCAGTGTTTATTTTCTCTGGCCTTGGGCTGTGATCGTTTATGATTTCATTTTATTGTGTTGTTCATTTCTTAAGTAATCAGTGGCTACTTATCACTCCCATCTAATAAGGAAAATTTATGAAATGTATTAATTTGAAGTGCAAACAGAAGCTGGACAGTTCAATAGAATTGAAAAAAAAAAAACCCTTTTAAAGTTCCCCTGGTGGAGTTTGTGGGGGGGTTGGGGGGCTGGAGTATTTTTGGTTCCTCTTTAAATTGTTTTGCAAGCCCTTTACTAGCATTTGTGCAATACTTGTCTGACCTTCAAGATTCAACAAGATTGGTAAGGTATTCATACCAATAATCTTTTATGCTCAAACAGAACTTGCCTTTTATAAATACTTAAAGGTAATTTATTTTATAAAAGGTCGTATTTATTGCTTGAATATATTCTTTGGTATTTTTTACTTTGGCACAACTGTAAGTCATTTCGCATCAAAGTAATACTAAAGAAAGTCCTACACTATGGTACATTTAGAGTGGGACTTGAGAGCAAAAGATTTTAGGTTAATATCTTTGCAATGCTCTACGAAGTGCTCTTGTTCTTTTTGTAGTTGTTCTTTTAGCAGGGATTCTTTCATGCTATATTGGATTATTAGTGCCCACAAGTGTCTTGTTTTTGTCTTTATAAGTGACCGCTGTCTAACACCCCTGTTCTCAGTGTACGCTGGAAATCTCTTTTTAAATCTTTAAATTGTTTGTGGATATAATGTATGATTGGGGGATTTTTATAGCTGCCTGTTTTCCTAATAAGAAATTATAAAAAAATTTATTTTGGGTAAATTTTAATGTAGAAGACTTCTTCAAACTTGTTCTGTTGTTTGATTTCTTGGCACTTAATTGAGATTCAATTAAAAGTTAAAATAATGGATCCATTTTGCTGGATGATTAAAAAAAGTTCATTGGAGTTTATAATCCTCATACAAATGCAATTTATAGTTGAGCACCCGTATTTCCTCTTTAATATGTAGTCTAAGCTATTTTCATTTCCCTAACTGTTTTCTTTTCACCAAAGTGCGTTAAACTTTTCATTCAAGAGTTAATCAGGACAGTTCCTGCATTGTGAATAAGGTTTATCACAATTTGAAGCATGATAAACAACTTCAAATATGTCTTAACTTTTGGCGCATTGACAATGATCTAATACAGAAAACATAAAAAATTTACAAAACTGTGTTTATGAATTTTATTATTGTATATTCAACCTGATTTGGTCTCACTTGGCCTGTTTACAGAGCTTATACAGTCTAACAATTTTTCAGCAGGTAGACTCAAGGCTGTTCTTAGTTTACAGATTTTTTCTGAGGAAAAACAACACTGAAACAAACCTTTTTCATCGCTTCCTATAAATATATAAGTGAAACCACCATCTCAGAAGCAATAGATCTATACCGGCCTCTGCTAATATCCACAGCAAAAATTGACAGTTACTGTTTTTTAACTTAGAAATCATTTAAAGTGCATAATTGAAATGTTAGCTTTCCACACTTTGGTCTTCCTTCCTTATTCCTCTCAGCCTAGTCAAATTTGTCATGCCTCTTTAGCAGAGGAAAGGGCAAGGCAAGTTTATTTATATAGCACATTTCCGTAGAAAGACAATCATCATTTTAATATGTTTCCTGCATTACAGGAACCTAGTCACAAACTAGGCCTATAAAAACTAGGGTTGTAGTCAAGACCACAGTAACCGAGACCAAGAGTACCAATACTGAGAAAAGGCCAGGACCTTTAAAAGGCCAGAACCGAGTCAAGACAAGAACATTAAATGGTCTCAAACTCTAAAAGTCTTTCCTTTTCTCAGTCTCAGTATTCCTTGGTCTCGGTTGCTGTGGTCTTGACTACAAAACTAATAAACACTCACACAGAAAAAATTTAATAATCTTCAAATAAAACAATATCCAACAAAGTCCATAGTTCGATAGTGTTTATGCAGCTGCTTTGGATTTTATCATTCCATTAAATGGCCATTATTAGCGGTTATCAGTTGCATAGAATGGCTTCAGATCATGCCTCCTACTTCCCAGTAGGCTCTTTAGGTTGTTATCACTGAATTAATCATAAGCCTAACCCTAAGGTACTTCCTTTAAAAAAAAAAAAAAAAACAACTCTTTAGGTATAATCTCTACATAATTTTCTTAATTCTTCGTCTATTAAAAAAAAAAGAAAAGAAAAATGATTGAATGTCACTCACGAACCAAAACAAAAAATATCATATGTCAACTGAATTGTTATTAAACTCCACATCAAATGTGTATGATTGAAACATGTGGAATTAAGTTGAAGTAAAGCTTTAAAACGCAGTAGGTACCCTGTAAATAAAGTTGGACAGTATTAAGTAGGTAAATTGTAAATAAAACTTACGGTTTTTAACTGCTGAGGCAGCTGTTATCAACGAAAGCTGCATATTATCAGCCATAAGAATCCTAGAAGGTAGAGGAGAAACAGGCAGAAACTCAGCTATGGGACTGATAATCAGTAATAACGGCCATTTAATAGTTGATCATATACAAAATGAGTATTCTCACTTCCATTAGTTTAGGAATAAAACCTAAATGCTTTCAAGTTTTAGCTTCTGCTTCATTTAACACTAGCATTCACTGTCAGGTTGCATTGAGTTTTTTGCAGGACCCAAATGCAGAGGCAGAAGCTGAGGTGGTTTCTTGCTAATTTCATAAGAAGTAGTGGCAACAGAAGCATAAATCAAAAAAATAAATGATCAAGGAAACAAGGACCAGAACAAAGAGGAACACATTGGTTAAAGAGGAAATTAAGGAATGAAGAGAATCTAGCACTGAGTAACTGCAGAGGAAGAGTATAAATGTCAAAACAAACAAAGATATGAGTAATTGACTGATTGGGAGCAGGTGTGGACAGAAGGATATAGAATGGAGCTAGGGAAAGGAGACTGACACATGGGGGCAACAGAGAGTAAACAAGAAATACATAAGAACACAAATACAACCAAAAAAAAAATATAAAGACACAAAATGGAAATAAAACAATGCCCTAAAAAATACAGAAAGACATGAATCAAAGTATAACTGAAAACTCAAAAAGAAAACTTAAACAGAACCAAAAAGTGCAGAATCATGACATTCACATTGTTGTCTGAGAGCTACTGGTATTTAATTACTTGGCTTTCATTTTCGATTTTTTTTCACACTTGATCTTAGACTTTCCTCCTTCTTTTGAACCTCCACTGGGAAGAATATACAAAAGTGGTTTGTATACTACAAATAAAGCAAAAACAAAGATTTATGTACACAAATGCATTATGGTAAGCTAACAGGGAAGGATAATCTGATAAGGAAACCTTTGTATGCAACCTGATTAAGCGACTAGGATACAAATTCCTAAATTAATAGTACTTGACAAGGCCCCTTTTGCGATCTGATATATCAGATAACCTTATGGTGGGGAAATCACTTGGAGAGTCCAAACATCATGTCGTTCGAGATTCGCTTCAGAACCTAAAGAACTTGATTTTAACCATCTTGCTCTCTTACAGATGTGGATGATGGAAGCTACTGTGAAGTCATCACAACAACCATGGTGGGAGGAATTTCTAGATGATTTACCTGAGAACTATGACAACTATTCTCTTTATGAAGACTACATTTACAAGGATGGAGACATTTGTGACCTGACTATGGGTATGAAATTCGAGGCAGTGTTCATCCCAGTTCTTTACTCAGTGATCTTTGGAGTTGGGATCCTGGGAAATGGATTGTTGATAGCTGTGCTTTTAAAGAGCAGGAAGGCATGGAATGTGACGAATACCTTCATTCTTCACCTTGCTTTTGCGGATATCCTGCTGCTGCTGATGCTGCCGCTCTGGGCTGTACAGTCTGCTAGCCCGGTTGGGTGGTCTTTTGGAACTCCTCTCTGCAAGATTGCTGGAGCTGTTTTTACGGTGAGATTTCGACAATAACAAATAATAGCTGAAAGTAAGAAATATCTTATTGTTTTTTTTCTTTCAGATCAGCATGTATTGTGGGATTTTCCTCCTGGCTTGCATCAGTGTGGACTGTTACCTCTTTATTGTCCATTCTACAAAGATGTACACTTGCAGAAAGCCCTGGCGGGTGCAAACAAGCTGCTTGGTGGTGTGGTGCTTCTCCCTGATGCTCTCCATCCCTGACTGGTACTTTTTGGAAGCTGTGGAAGATGTCAGACAAAGTAGAACAAAGTGTGTTCATAACTATTTTAAACTTAGCCCAGATCACTTTTATAACCTACAAATGGTAGCACGATGGCTGTACCCCACTGTGGGCTTCATACTACCTTCATTTGTTTTGATCATCTGCTACTCCTCTATCCTGTGGCAGCTGGGGTGTGGCACAAGAGGCTTCAGAAAGCAGAGAGCATTTAAAGTCATAATAGCTGTGGTCGCAGCTTTCTTTCTCTGCTGGACTCCACTTAATATTATACTCATTGTGGACACAATTCAACAAAGAATCATTGGGGAAGCATCATGTGGAACAAGAACATCAATGCACAAAGCTTGGTTAGTGACTGAGAGTCTGGGGTACCTTCACTGCAGCCTCAATCCCATCCTTTATGCTTTTTTAGGTGTGAAGTTCCAACATCAGCTGCTGAACATCCTCAGGTCCATGGGTTGCAAAATAAAGCTAAGTGTCAAATCTGAGACTTTTGCCAAGGAAGTTTCCATTGGGTCTGAGACAGCCAACACCTTAAACTCTTTTGCAATCTGAAAGACCACACTAAAAAGTTTAAATATATTCTTTAAGAATAAATGTCATTATTTTAGTAAAGATCCCACATTTTTGAAGAACTAGGATTGTGAATGTGAATTTTCTCTTATCCAAAAAGTTAAAGCTCTATAGAAAACCAAGACTTTTTGTAGCCAGAAAGGTCTAGGTAAAAAACTGGTTGTTTCGCTGGCTTAGCTTTTAGGCAAACAGTTTTAACTGTTATGTCATCAGGGTAATTCCAGCAGTATAATATGTGCTCAACAACTATCTAACCCAAATTACCCTTGACATTTGGAACCAAAGACTCAGAAGTCTATCATCAATAAATATTCTTATTATCCTCACTGAATCAACATTAACATCAACGTGAGAGGTAACAATCCTATATAGATGCTTTTTACTTTGAAAGTATTCTACAGACTCTACTACAGTATGTATATATTTGTATAACTTTGAATATAGTCAAGCTAAAATCCCTCAGGAGAAAGAATTTTTGGTCTGATGCGCAAAGATGTAGATATTTGGTAACAAGAATATTTGACAACTCAAAGTAAGACTTACAACCTATAGGAACAATGTTGCAGCAGTCAAGCTTTAAGTTGGTAGCATTATCCTGTGGGGATGTTACAATGGCTGCAATAGACATTACATTGTTCAAGGTGGGTGAAAATATTAAAAATAAGCACTTTTCCCAAAAGCTATAGCTCCACTTTAAACCGAAAATGACATAATGGAAACCTGAACATATCTGGGTGCTGCAACGGGACAATGAGCTGAATCACTTTGCAAAACTTGTTTAAATGAATAAAGGAGATATATACTGATTACATATCCTTGAATGGTCCAACCTCAAACTTGTTGAAAATGTATAAACTGCTTAAAGCTGTGTTAACAATTTGAAACCATCCTTATGGATGAGTATTAATCCTTCTTTTGGGAAAAATGTCCAGGCAGAATTATGGCAGACAGTAATAAAATGCTACAAAAAGAGTCTTATTTCTTCTAAACCTGCTAAGTAACATTCTTTTAAATATTATTGAGGATTCATGTACAGAATATACCTGAATTAAATTGTGTAACCCTTGCAGATTCAAGTTTAAAGTAAGACTTTTTTCTAAAAACCAGCTTGCTTACTTAGGCTAATTACTTACTTACTTACTGGCTTCCTGTCGAAATCAGAATACGATTTAAGATTTTGCACATTAAAGGTTACTAACAGCCTCGCTTTACCTCAACTTTTCTTATCTCAATCAAACCTCAATTGTTTCCTTTATCCTTCATTCTTCCTCCTCCATTCACTCTGCTGTTCCTCCTTCCTTAGCACCACAGTCAACAAAGCTTTCTGGAATTGGAAATTCTTTTCTTCCAGATGTTCTCAATATCTAGACCCTTTTCTTTGTTTACATGTAAGTCTAAACTAAAAAAAAAAAAAATCTGTTTAGGATGCACTATGTCCATACCTGTTCATTGTATGTTTTAATGTGTGGCAGTTTGTTCACTACAGTGAGTCAAATGCTGTGAAAGGTGCTTTTCAAATAAAATGTATTATTGTTATTATTTCCAAGGATTGCTTTCTATCAATGCTTCGATTATTCTGAAAAATATGGCTAGCTATAAAGCAAGCAACATGATGATCATAGTCTAGCTTTCCATTATCCCCCCTAGGGAAGATGCGTGGTAACTATAACAGCTAAGACCTCAAGGAAGCTACGCTCATTTCAGTATCTGAATTGCATTGGAAATTTATATGAAGAGCAGATCTGGTTAGGATGTAGGTGTCAAGGTTGCTGGATGTTGTTGTGGACCCAAATGCAGAGTAGAGATGGCAGAAAAGGTTTTTTTTAAGTTTTATTGGTGAAGTAGATGGTAAAAAATCACAAATCCAGAAATAACAGACTGGAAACTCAGAAACCAAAAACTAAAGACGCTCGGGAGAAACATACAAGAAGAAGAGGATCAGCAATGAGGAACTGCACAGGAGTTGTATGTATGGGGGACAGAACAAAGAATGGGCTAATCAGCTGATAGGGAGCAGTTGTGGATAGAAGTAACTAGAAGGGAGCTAGAGGAAAGGAGACTGGCATAAGGGGGCAACAGAGAGTAACTCAAAAAATATAACACTGATTAAATATAACACAAAATGGAAAAGAAACCCATGACTTGCAAAACAGAATCACATAAATAACTGAAACCACTGAAACTACTGCAGATGATATGATGAACTGACCTGTGTATTTTTACTTGTATATTTTAATTGTATATTTTCACTCTTTTTCATGTTCCTATTATTTCCTAATGTGCAACTTGTGCAAATTTTTTTTTTTTTTTTTAATGGTTTGTTAATAATGTAATGTAATTTCTTTAATGTGATGACCCCAGGAAGAATAGTGGCCATTTATTTGGCAGCTAATGGGGATCCTAATAAAACTAAAATAAACTAAACTAAACCTCAACGGCTGTTTTTTAAATATGTGTACCTGTGCGTTCTCATGTGCTTGTTAAATATCATCAACCTCAGCCCTAGTACTGTTCCAATTCACAAGAACACAAACCGAGAACGGACTAAGTCCCGAATGTTGTTCTCGCCTCCTTCTTTACCAAGTATGCATCAGAGCAGACTTGTCCGTTGTTGAGATTGACAGCTGTCCCAGCATGAACTGCGGCAGCAGCAGCTTCAAGGTTTGCACTCAGAGTATTAAGTTAAAAGTTCTCTTTTCTGTCGGTGTTGTTCTAAAAAAGTATATTTTAAGACGATTTGAGGTGAGACCATTAGAGCTTTAAGCTTCACTATATTTACTGATTTAGTGAGTAATAAAATAAAAAAGTTCAGATGCTGATTCTAACCGCAGCCAGGGCAAGCTTTGGCCCATCTGCAGTGGCCCTCTATTGGGATAGCCAAGTGTGAAGGACCGCTGGCTCTGATGGCGATTTTTTTTGTTTTATTTGGCAATTTGTTAATATGACTTGTGCATATGTGACTGTGTTAATTATTATTCCCCCACTAAATGAAAAAAGTAAGTTTATTATTATCTACAGACTATTAATAACAGGAATCGAAATGCATCTCAAGACAAGCCGGGCATGTGGTGACGTCACAAGTACACTTCTATTCCAATTGATCCATATTTATACTGCATGCTGCCCTTCTCCCCAAGTCCATACTTTCCTGTTCTTCTCAAGGACTTGCTTGGCGAGGACACGAGTCCTTGTTTGCGTTTTTGTGAATTGAGAAACGGCCAAAAAGAAACTTAAACAAAAGTCCACAAAGAGCAGAATCATGACAGTAGGGGTATAATCAATATTCAACCATAAACAAACTTTATAAAAGTTTTTCATGGGGGGAATATTCCAACCAAAATGGTAAGTCTGTCATGCAACCAGAAGGTTTACCTACTGTCATTGCGCAACACTCCTCCATGTATTGACAGTCAGCGTGCCTTAGCACAGGATTTTTTAACCCTGGTCCTCAAGGCCCATTGTCCTACATGTTTTAGGTGTTTCCCTGCCTCAACACACCTGGCCTAAATGAAAAGGTGATCAACAGTCTTTTGCAGCATCTTATAGATACAGAGAAGGTAATGCAATCATTTGAATCACATGTGCTTGAGTAGCACATCTAAAACATGAAGCACATGAGATTTTTCAAATGTTGACAGTGGGAAACACTGGCTTTAAGACTTGCTATTTGGCATAAACAAGCACTGCTCTAAACAATATAGTAATGACCAGATATACAGTCCTGGCACTTATTTACAATTATTTTTATATTTTGTTATGGTTGTAGGAACCATAAGCTGTATATACAGTGAACCCTTGTCTTCCATGGGGTTACGTTCCAAAAAAACACACACATTTTTGGGAGAGACAGTTTCAAACATGTTTGGAAAGTCCTGAAGTACCCAAACGTTTACAAAGGTCAGCAGTTAAAGAGGAAAAAAAAGAATAGAAACTGAAAAAAGAAGATTTTCTGAAGAAGTCATAAAGATTTTTTTTTTTTTAGCAAGAAACTTAGAATGGGAAAAAAAACAAAAACTGCAGTACATCCAAAACCACAAGTTTCCATCTAAAATGGTGAAAAGAAGCTACTATGAATCATACTATGACCTAATGAAGGCACCCACACTAAATCTCTTCACACAATTACATAAAAATGAAACCTAAATTTTCAGATTTCAGTTGGCAGTGACACAAAAAGAGCATTTCACTTTTTGGCTTTTTTAGTATCTTAAGCTCACAACTTTTCTGCCCCCTCAGTTGGCCCGGTTGGCCCTCTTAGACATGCACTCAAGTTAAATCTGTTTTTATAAGGTAGAAATAATGCCCTGATTTATACATTGAGATATATATCGTACAGTAAAATGATTATTCAGCAGAGTAATAACAAGCTTGTTGTTACCATATTTCAGAGCTCAGTAATCCCCTTATTGTGTTTAAAAAAAAAAAATCATCTGCTGATTAAATAACTTCTTTGTCAGATGTGTCTTTGTTGAAATTTTTGATAATAGTTTTAAAATTCATTTACAGATTTCAAAACAGATATAAAACCTCTTGAAACAAATTTTTTGCAAAGCAGTTAATGCTTGCCTAAATGTGGTAACACTGTTGAAAATAACATATATGGCATTTTACGAGCTCACATTGTATTCAAGTATGAAAAAACATTTTTAGTTTCCCAAAACATCAAACCTTTTGCATGTGAGCTTGAAATACTGAAGGAGGTAACGTTAATATTTTGACGCTTAGTACCACTATAATGTGTCTGTTAGTAAATTTATCAGGGGATTTTATTAAAGGGAAAACACCGGAGCCTAGAAGGACAGCACAGAAGAGGAAGAAACTGTTGCGTTATTGTAAATGGGATTTCCAAGTCAAGAAGTGCAGGCTCTTTAGGGTCACATATAGTTGCTTTCTGTGTTTATTGTTCAGGGTAAAATACTTTTAGAACAAGAAAATGAAGAAAATAAGAGGTGTTTAATATTTTCTACTGCAATATATGCAGAGGTTACACTGTCTTAAGCCAGAGGGCTTATTTCAGTCATTTTCTTGCATGTAAAAAGAAAAAATGAAACAGAATCAAGTGAAACTTAAAAGGTTTTGTGTGTGCATCCCATTTTGAGCCTGCCTTGGTTTTTGGTTCCTTATTAACTAAGTGCTGTTATAAGCAAACAGGAATCTGTTAATGCCATCTTTGTTGTTTTGTCTTGTGACCTACCGGTATCTGGAGAGAACAGTTTGGTAAGTTATAATTCATAGGCAATAAATCGCTCACATCGAATATTTTAAATTCTACAGCAAATATAATACATATTGCTATATTCCTAAAAAAAAAAAAACATTAAATGTTGGTGGTTGCATATTGATTGCTGATGTTCAATAATGAGAGGGTAACAGCTTATTTTAAAGGGGCTGTTTTTCCCGATTTTTGTGTTTAGGCTTAAAGGTTGCAGCTCGTGATAGTTATATTTAATTCCATGTCTTAAAGTGTAAAAAAAAAAAAAAGAAAATAGATTGTAAGAGACAGCCAATAATGTTTGGTCTGTAGAGTTTTTAAAAATCAGGTGAAGTAGGCAACATAGTATTTAAGGT